GTGCACCACACCTATCGTCGACTACCAGACGACGTGTAGCCCCGTTACAGATTGTGAAACGATTGTGGAACGTTTGGGCAATGTTTAGCAGAATGTAGTTCGTGGTTGTAAATGGCGACGACAACCATGGCATATTCTGCTTTAAAGAGTGGTACAGGTCGTACGCTTCATCGATTTGCTTGCGTGACCCGATGCATCTGTAGCTTTCCTTTTGGTGTGGGATGGATACAAGTTAGGAACGAAAGGACAGCGCGTCGCATATACAACAACACAAGATCGATCATATTGAGGCCGAGTAGCAGGATGTCATCTGCTCCAACAACTCAACGGTGGCAACCCAGGTGGCGTTCATATCACCAGGAAGAAGTGCTGAATAGGCCATGCTGCGGTACCGTCGTGCTGGCACATGATTATCGACCGTGAGTACTTTATACTTTTATGTAAGAAGATAGGGTTTGCGATCGACCTAAGCAACGACTACTGTCGGTACTTTGAGCATCCGTCTTATCACTTTGATACTTGTAAATGCGCTACTGCACCTGCACTTTTAAGTAGGTTATATATGATTCGCCGAGCTTGGAGCCGTATGTCCTGTAGGACCGACGCGTGCCGGAGAAAGAGACAACATGCAAGTTGTGCTCAAGTTTTGTCGAAAACTAGGGCACAACCTTTTCGTTACCTGCTGACTTTTCGTCGAGAGTCGAGTTGCCAGCGTGGAGATCCAATACTTTTGCAGAGTACGAAAGCAGCTTGCCTAAAATAGCGCTGATTCGGTAGATAAATCGTTAGAATGTATGCGAGAGCTGCTGAAGCCGTGAGTGCTAGCAAAGAACTTGCATTCGAAACGACTCCTCAGGCAGCACAGCAAACAGAATGGTTATGTAGACACACAGGATCGAAACAGGCGTGCCTGTGTGGCATTAAGGTGGAGAGAATACTGACGCAAAACGCCTCGATCAACCATATTCAGCTAGCGACGATTGGTGTATTTCGCACGAACTTCGTGTCCACTCAAACCCTCGTCTACTCGCAAACAATCTCATTCGATTCATGACAGAGATCCTTCAAGCCAAAGCTTTTCCGCACGTCTGCCTTCTTTCGCCAGTCAGCTTACGTTGCGATCAAAAGTTTTCATGATGGAAAAACTTGTTGATCATGTGATACGAAACAGCTGGTTGGTCCATTGGTACCATGTGGCCCGAGTTGAAGACACGAATGAACGTCAAGTTCTCAAACGAACAAACACGTCCTGCGTCCGGGTCCTCCAATGTGCCAAACTGGCAGTTCGCAGCGTTGTTGAAGGCCGCTTTTCCCCTCCAGTCGAGCGCCATCACCCACGCTTGGTTGCCCACCCAGTTGCACATGAGATCAGCATCTCCAGCGTAAATCAATACTCTCACGCCTGCATCGAGAAGCAGTTTTACGTCGTCAGCTGAAGACAGCATTTCACCTAGCGCAAACCTAGCATTAATCGTCGCATCGCACTCGCGCCAGGGTTTCGACTTTTGTACGTCGACACCCAGCTCTACCAGCACGTGAGGGGAGTTCAAGAACTTTTCAATGTGCTCGAAATCAACACACGTCATCACGTTCTCTACAACGCACGGCTTGCGAATGTCGTAGGGGTTCCGTCCGGACTGGTAGTACGGCTGTTCCAGCGTCCCAAAGCAAAACTCCGAGGCCTCAGCACAAATTTCACGATCCTTTTGGCACTTTAAAAATGAGCTCGTGGCACACTGGCTGTAACGGGGTTACACGTCGACTGGTAGTCAACAATAGGTGTGGTAAACACAAGGGATGGGATCCCCTATAAGGTTATATTAGAACACAAGTATCTATTGTTGAAGACTGATGTCTGGCAACCATTGATTACGAGGTCTTATAATAGGTTTATTTAGGACATAAGTGAGTAGGTTACTTCCTTTGTTCTACGTTTTTATTTTGGGTTGAAAGAAGAAACAAAATTCAGTTCCCATTTTGATACGATAGACACGTGCCTATTTGAGGCTTCTTGTGATCGTTGAAGAGATAGCAACGCCTTGTTTAGGCAGCTACTCCTTGTGCACTTAGTGCGTTTGATTCTTTGAATCGTTTGGTTCCCCTAGAACAGGGACCGTAAGCTCTTTGAGCTTGTTGACTCTTTCAGTCGGGTTCTTTGAACCAACCCTTAGCACTCGGAGCTGTTGACTCTTTGAGTCGGGTTCGTAGAACCAAAGTTGCTCGTAAGAGCGTTAAGTCCTCCTCTGACTTAGGAGATGTGTAGCTCCGCAACACTTGGTAGCACTCGTAGTCAACCTACACCTGAGTCGTTACGACTGATCTTCTGTGAGGGTGGAGCAATCCACACCCCTTTCTGAGGCTCAAAAGGTCGCGCTTGAGAAGCTGACCGCGGACGTAGGCCCTGAGTAAGTGGAGTTTCTAGCTGCACAAGATTCTGATGTGCTCAATGCACGAGTCGAGGCCTTCATGCAGAATGAAAATGCCCTTTTAGGGCAGGTTCAAAACCAGGTAGCGTCGGCTATGCCGACACGCTACGTGGCTATGCCACCAGAAGAGGCTAAGCCTCGTCCCCTTAAGGTGGAAGTTACACATTATTCCGGCAAGGAGGGGAAAAACCTGACCCTCTGGATCCGTGAGATTGAGATGGCCATGAGCGCTGGCCTTATCTCACTGGAGTATCAGCGGGTCTCGCTGGCCATCTCCAAGCTCTATGGAAGAGCTAGAGAGTGGGCTCTGACGTGTGGCACGTCGGTCGACTTGGCGTTTCCCACATGGGATTCGCTCAAGTTAGACCTATTGCGAGTTTTCTCGCCTCCTAATCAGGCCTATCGCGTGCGCTCACGCTTCTTGTCTACCCGTCAGGGTAAGAATGAGCTAACGGACTATATCCAAGAGTTGAGAACTCTGATGGCGGCTATGCAGTCTGACCCTCTCCCTGAGACCGTTTATGTGGCTGTATTCATGGAAGGTATTCGTAATGGCGTTGCCAGGACCGAGGTGTATCGGGTCCATCCCTCTACTTTTGAGGAGGCTGTTAGCATCGCTCAAAATGCTGAGCACAACTTCAAGTCGGCCAGACTTGGTTGGAATGGGTACAACCCAAGCTATGCGAGGGCAACCTCTGCGAACACCTCGGCTTACTGTAAGCCCGAACCGATGGATCTCAGCTATGCTGAAGATGAAGGTGAAGCGAAGCTTCATGTTGCAGAGCAACGACAGGAGGTGAGACGCTGTTACATGTGCGGAAGCACTAAACACTTGCGTCCCACTTGTCCTTTGCGTAAGCAACGACCGACTCCTACGGGTCGAAACCCCAGCCACAACCAGAAACCTGGTATGGCACGGGGAAACGTCGACACCCAGTAGGTGCGAGGAGCCCTACTGGGGTAGAACTGAGTTATGTCACTTCTCTACGAGGTAGAGTGAAGCAGGGCTTATCCCCAACGATCTATGTACCCACCAGCACAGAGCGTGGATACAAGCCTGGCTTGTTAGTCACCGAGGCGAGGATTAAAGGCTTTGAGAAGAATTGGTCGATCCTAATCGACTCCGGAGCATCATGCAAATATGATCGACGTCTTTCCCTTGAGGGAAGTCAGCGATACGCTGAAGCGCTCAAAGCGCATGAGGGTGATTCAATCACCGTTCGTTTAGCGACTGGTAGTCGCGTCACGATGCCTAAAGTTCCGTTGAACTTAGGTATGAAGTTTTTGGACTTTGACAGCATTGAACGCTGTATTGTACTCGATTTGGATTCGAGATACAATCTCATCCTGGGTATGGCTTGGCTTGAACGCCATGAACCATGGATTGATTGGAGGTCTAAGACCTTAGGCGCCACGCGCAATGTTCCTAGTGGAGTTTTGGAGAGTCATGAACCCACCTTTGCTAGGCAACAAAAGCGCTATTGGCGCGAGCCATTGACGGAAGATGTCAATGTGCTGGACATTGGTATGTCGGAGTTGATTAACTCCAATGTCAATGACATCCATATTGAGCGGAGCTCTTTCACCGTATGTGAAGGGAGTTATACTCCGTTGAGTGATATTCGTTGTGATACTGAGTCACTGCATGCTGCAGGCATGGTTGGCCTAGGCCCGAGACATCAAGAATGTAATTCCTCTATGTAAGTGGGGTGGCACGTGAAATTTCACCGAGTGAGGGCGGCCGAGGTGGCACCTCACTGAATGTCGGTAATGACATTGATGGCAAGAAGCCAGAGTGTTCGGGTCTAGGCTCGAATGCTGTACGTGAAGTGGTCCGTGTAAATCCACTGGGTGAAGTGTTTGAGTTACGTAACACTTCACCAGATGTCGTTCAAGACATGAGCTCTCGTCTAGAGCGTGCTAAGACAAATAGTAACCACGAGTATCCGACTGTCCCGGCCTCTAGGAGGGGTACTGTTTCTGAGAGGAAACGATTCCAGCGTAAGGTGGCCACTGTGAAGCGCCCAACGTCTAAGAAGTCACGAAGTGAAAATTGTAATAATACACTATATGCACTTGTCAATGGGTTGACTGGCCAGATCGATGGCAATATTAGTCTTGAGACTCTTCCATCTTTGGATACTCTCTTTGAACTAGACGAAATGTCTGACGGCGAATTTAGTCAAGCCTTACAGGCAGAAGAATTATCCGAGTTAGTGGTCATTCGGCCGGATATTGAGTGGAAATCATCCTCGTTATTGGACGAGTATGTCCTTGAGGATACAAAGGCGACATTGGATGCCCGTAGTGGATCTTCGATCCTTAAGGATCCTCTTGATCCGTTCTATCCTTTGATAAAGGAGTTTCAGGACGTGGTGTGTCACAACCCACCGTCCGTCTTACCTCCCGATAGAGGTGTACGTCATGAAATTGACTTGGTTCCTGGAACTAAATACTGCGTAACACGGCAGTGGCCCTTAACGAAGGAACAGTGTGACGTCATTGACGACTTCTTTCGTGCAAAGCACGCGGCAGGAATGGTACGTGAGAGCAAATATCCCCATTCCACACCGACCTATTGTGTCAAAAAGCCTAATGGGAAGTGGCGCATTGTTCATGCTTACAATAAGCTTAATGCAGCCAACATTCCGGCCCAGACACCAATTCCGAGGAAAAATGTTCTTCAGAACAATATTCTGGGATGTACGATGTACTGTGCGCTCGACTTAGTCGATGGGTATTACCAATTTCTCATGCGAGAAAGCGATATTCCGCTGACAGCGGTCAGCACTCCAATCGGTATGCTCTGGGAGTGGCTTGTTTTGCCGCAAGGGTTATCAAATGCCCCGGCTGCATTCAACCGTCTTGTGACACAAATGCTCAGACCTCACAGAGGTTATGCACATACATACTTTGATGACATCTTTGTCCATAGTCGTGCTATGAGCGGTCGGTCAGATGTGGACAATCACATTGACCATTTACGAGCGGTGCTCGAGTGCATGCGCACGAATAGGTTGAAGCCAACGCGTCTAAGTGCATCTTTGGTACAATAGAGATCCCCTTTTTAAGGTGCTTTATTGGTACGAGAGACCTTCGAGCGGATCCCGCTAAGGTAAAAGCCATAGTCGATTGGCCGGTTCCTAAGAACCAAAAGGACTTACGTAAGTGGCTTGGCCTTGTCAATTACTCACACAAGCATAGTGCAAACTATGCAGACATGGCTCGACCATTATCCAATCTTCTAAAAAATGATGTGGAATAATGCTGAACCAGCACCGAGCATGGTGCTTTTCAAGCAGTTAAGGAGAGTCTCCTTCATGCGCCAATCTTGGCTTTGCCTGATCCCTATCGATCTTTCAGTGTCGTCTGTGGCGCATCTGACTTTGCCATAGGCAGCGCTCTGTTATAGACAGATTCTGGTGGACAGGAACGCGTCATTGCGTTTGAGTCTCGGCAGCTGAAGGCTGCAGAAAAGAACTATCCTGTTCATTACAAAGAGATACTTGCAATGAAGTATGCTCTCGTCAAATTCAGAGCTCATCTGCTTGGCTCCAAGACGTTTTTGATCTATACAGATCATGCGTCATTACGCACTGCGACCCAGTTGCCTCACCTCTCTCAGAGAATGGCTCGTTGGCTTTCCTTCTTTGCGGAATACAACTTCGAGGTGAAGTATAAGCCGGGCAAGCAGAATGCTTTGGCTGATGCGTTGTCCCGCAGGCCTGACTATGAGCTTGCTCATGTTACGACTCTGTCGTCGTCGGTCACCGACCTAATCCGTACGGCATATGCCAAGGATGAACACTGTGTTTATCTGCTACGTGCTTTAGGTAGCGAGGAGTTTAAGGACTCGGACATCAAATTGTCGGCACGTTTACGTGCGAGGTTACATCGATATTCTATCGATCAGGGCCTGTTGTGATATAGCACGGATGTGGAGGATACCCCTCGCATCGTTGTCCCTCATGATGAGTAGTTGGAGTATCGGATCCTCTATGAGGCACATGGTACTGCGTTGAGTGGTCATCTGGGTCGTGAGAAGACCTATGGCTTAGTTATCCGATGCTATTGGTGGCCCAAACTATACAAATGGGTGAGCACATATGTGCGTACGTGCGAAACGTGTCAACGGGTAAAACCCTCACTACACGCGGCAACGCCGCTGGCTAGTTTGACTATACCCAAAAGGTGTTGGGAGTCCATCAGCATGGATTTTATGTTCGGATTACCTAAGATGGGCAAGGCAATACGGGTACTGTGGTATTTGTTGGCCGTTTGTTCAAGATGGCTCATTTAGCGGCGGTGCCAGATACCATTGATGGTGAAGGTACAGCTACGCTGTTTATTGATCGGGTGTTTCGACAACATGGTTTGCCACTGGCAATTATCTCTGATAGAGATCCTCGCTTCACTGGGAAGTTTTGGAATTCCATCTTCAAGGTGCTTGGCACACGTTTGGACATGTCCACAGCGGATCATCCGCAGACAGATGGTCCAACCGAGCGAGTCAACCGCGTTATCGGTGATATATTACGCAGTGTTTGCGCTGAAACGCCTTAGCGTTGGAGCTCGATGCTCCCTGTTGTTGAGTTTGCGTTGAACAACGCCGTGCATGCCTCTACAGGCTTTACTCCGTTTTACGTGAACGGTCTCACACACCCTCGCGTTCCGTTAACGCTACCACTGCGTGATTCAGAGCTTGGTGGGGGAGAGATGGCCGATCGGCTTGCAGATATCAGCCCTGCTACTGTTCAAAAACAGGTAAGCGAGTTTCTCGCAACGCGCTTAAAGGTGTTACGACACGTGCGTGATGCACTGGCTGATAGCCAAGACAGACAAAAGGAGCAAGCTGATGTTAAAGGCAGAGGTTGTATTGAAAGTTATAAGGTCGGAGACCAAGTTCTACTCAATGCTAAAAACATACCTACAAATGTAGTGTCTGCCGTCTTCAAGACAAAGTTGCGTCCGCGCTTCATCGAACCATTTGCGGTCGTCGCCAAGAAGCGACTTGCGTATACGCTCAACCTTCCGCGCAAACTGCGCACGCACCCAGTGTTCTACGTTGGCTTGCTTAAGCCGTATCGGGACCCGTCCCACGTGAACTTGGAGGCGCTTTCGCCGGGTAGGTTGGCCTTGCCATCGGTTGCTGAATCCGTATCAGGAGGTCAAGCTGAGCCTCCATCCGGGCTTGGCCCAACTCCAACGCCTGGACACGGGCTCGCGTCGCGTCAAACGCACTCTGGGTCTTACCCAATGTCTCACGGAGACCACTCATCTCGAGAAGAATCTTCTCATGCTCCTCCTTCGATATACCGACCACCTCCGACGCTGCTCGATGAGCAAG